ATTCTTCCTTCGAGATAAGCTGTCAGATTGTTTGCTGTGCGGAATTTCGTTTTGAGCCCCCGTTCGATAATCTCGCTGTCCCAGATCTCATGTAAATTCCTCTCCTTTCCGTACCACTGCACGATAATAGTGTTCCCACCACGGTCGGACGTAAAGCCTACATGCAACGGCTGATGGACATCCCCAACGAAGTGAGCTAAGAACAACAATGCCTCTGTCAGATTGGTCTTTGGAGCTTCTGTTTGCCCGGTCACCAACTGGTTTGTGAAATTGTTTATTGCCTCTGTGACACACATCGTGTCTTTGCAGTCCCTTTTGCGATTGTAGGTACAGACAAAGTCCGGCGTGTCGCAGTAGTGTAATGTACTTGACCACGTGTACCCACGCCTGCGTTTGATGGTGTCAGCCCAAGAACAAAGGTCGGAAAGCCGTTGGATTCTCTTGCCATCCAACAGCAGTGCGTTCACTTTCGCAGCTGCTACCTCTGTCAGTCGCCCCTCGGCAATTGCACAAGTAATCCTGTGTCCATCTGTTCCCCAGCCATAAGAGACAGGCAAGCAACCCCACACCAAAACGATTGCCAGAAATGCACAGATCGAACCCCCCATAAATGGAAGCTGAGAGGGTTCTTGAAGTCGGGTCCGGCAGGATGGCATTACGGGGCTGTCGTTGTTCCAGGAGAAGAGTCTGAGCTTACCCAGCCTGCTGCGCTTTACTGCATGCGCATGCGTCTGCAACTTGATTGGTCGAGCGTTGAAGGCTGCCTGCTGTCTGGACATGTGGCAGTTTTGCCAATCTGGGAGATTTGTTGCCGCTGATTGCACAGCTTTGCCAAACAAAATTGTATGGATTTATTCTGGAAGACTGCCCGTTCTCATCGTACAGCCATCAAACCAAACTGATGACAGCCACCAAATCTAATAATAATAATAATGCAGAAAGTTTATAGCTTCACCAGAAGAGAGCTGAAGTCCTGGCACAGGAAAGGATTACAACGACCAAAAAGCAATGCAAGGAAAATGAGCAGGAGCGAATGACAGAAATCCAATTACAACACCACATCACATTGAAAGCCAGATAGTCGTGACCTGTCCAGAAAGCCGAATGCACCAAATCACACACCAACGGAAACCAAAGGCCTTGCACAAGAGCTTTTTCTTCTTAAAAAAAAAAAAAAAAAAAAAAAAAACCACTGAACTCAGTTGTCAACATCAGCCCTCATCTCGCCACCATCAACAAAGTGTCCAAGGTATATTCTCCTAATTGGCACTCGGCGCCCTGACTACAATCACACAGCCCCTTTACTAAGCTTATACACTACAATGCCGCAACCAGAACACTGCAGCAGCGGACCACGAAGTACATGCAGATGTTGCCAACGCAGACCTCCACGACGAACCAGGTATGTCCCCGCTCGCTCTTTCTCCACTCCCTCCCTTCACTCACCCCCACACTCTGTCCTCCTCCCGAAGACCTCCGCCATACCCCGCTGACCTCACTAAGCCCAAGCCCAGCTATGGATGGCTGGGCTGAGCGCTGCGCGCAGCAGTGGCCGTCACCACCTGCGCCCGTGTGCGCTTGCTCAGGCCCTCGTCCCCGGCGGCTCACAAGCGCTCAGAGTGGCAGTGCTCCCGCATGTGCATGAAGTGCCCGAATGCCTCCCCTAGATGTGGGCACTTTCCTTTATGGACAATGCTTGCCTCTGGTAAGCAGCCTGGGCCTGGTGACCGTGTACCCAGTAGCTTCACGTTGGGCCAAAGTGTCTGTGCCCAGGCCTGATTCAGATACTGGCCTGGGCCCGAAGCAGTTAGGCGCCCCCCACTGTGTGTGACGTGGCCATTGTGACTCGCTGAGTCCTGATTGGCCGGAAGAACTACTTCCACATCGCTGCCTGGGAGATCCTAGAAGGCTCATGATGTCTGGGTCACACTGCATGCACGGCCCTGTAACCGACTGGCGCCTGGTAACTGTCGCCCCCCATGAGCAGGCCAAAAATAAGCCGCACTTTGAAATGCAGGCCTGCCTTCTCTTAGGGCGGGCAAAATGCTCGTAGGGGTCCCCACTATGACCCTGCCGAGTACAAGGATTCTCGCATCCACATACTTTTAATGAAATTCTCTTCATCCATCACCGAGCCTAGCTCAGGTGGCAAACCCATCAACTTCTTTCTTTTTTTTTTCTTTTTTTTTAAACAAAACACACTCTTATTGTTACAAATAGTCAGGAACCGGCGTCCCTTACAGTTTTTCACAGCCCCTGACTTGCTCCCTGCTACTCTGGCCGGGTGCGGGTCAAGGCTGCAGAAACAGGACCAAACCTCAGCCGTTCAGGGCAATACAAAGATCAGAGGCAATACCCAAAGTAAAACAAAACAAGTCTCAGCCAGAAAGAAATGGTGACCTCAGTTTTTTTTGTTTTTTTTTTTTTGCAAAAGCAAACAAGTTATTATGAAAGGTCGAATTGAGGCCGGGGACCTCACAATTCAACCCGGAGTTATCCTGGCAGCCTCCGCCAGTTTAGCTTACGAGCAATTGCTCGCTAAACATAACACTTCATATGAGAGCAGGAGGATAATCTTTTTATTTTTATTTTTTAAATAAACCCGTGATACCAGGTAGGAGTGATGATAAGAGCATACACTTCTACCTGGCTCACTAGGGGCTCCATTCTATTAGTGGGGAGCTGCACCTGCTGGAAACCGGGTCCAGC